CACGCGCCCGCGAAAATCACCGCGCCTTCCTCGGTTGGGGCGGTGGCGACTGCTGGGGCGCCGCCCTAGCCCGCCCGGCCCCGACCGGGATCCGCCCCCCGCCGGTGGGTGGAGCTTGCAGGGAAAGGCCAGGCCAGCGTGCGGTCCCGGGCTCGGCCGGCAGAGGGCGCCGTGGCGCTCGAAGGAGGCTCAGCCCCGAGGACGTTGCAGGGCCGGGAACGGAGCAGGCCCCGGAGCCGTCACCCACGCGGGGTGCGCAAGAGGAAGGGAGGACCGGAAAACAGTGAGGGGAAACGTGTCTCTGGACATGGACAGAGCGCGCTTCTCTCTTTGAGCCATCGCAGCTGGTCCGTGCAGGGACGGAACCCTGGAAATTGCAGAGCGGGGGGCTTGTTTTCGGGTTTCGCTTTTCTTTTTTCTTTGCTGGTTTGGGGGTTCAGGGTCGGCTGAGTTCCCCAACAGCCCAGCGAGTTACCCTGGTTGTTGAATGGACACTTTTCCTGAGTTCACAGGGATCTTTTGGGGGGTCTTCTTAGCCCTTCCCAACACGATGCTTGTCTGCAGAGAAAATCCCTAAAGCGCGACTGATAGCGCAGCACGTTGCACGAACCTGCTGATCCCAAAAACCTTTGTCTGGCGAGCTTAGCGAGCCTTTGTCCGCCGGCCCAGAGAGGTGGAAACGTTCGGCCCTCGCCCGATGAGCGGGGTCAGCCTCGCAAACAGAGACAAGAAACGTTTCCAGGCCCTTTTGCAGGGGAGTGCATGATGCATGCCGGACACTTAGCACTTTCCCCAGCCCTTTGGGATAGTCTTTGCACTGAGCGGATCGCTCAGAGGCTCACCCCTGTCCCACCTCACAGGGCTGCTGTGAAGCTAAAACACCATCCTGAGTTTGCTGAAGGAAGCACAAGGGTAAGTGTGGAAGCTGAAACAGTTTTCTGGGGGGCACCTCCCAGCGAACAGATTATCCTCCCACCCGCTTTGATGGAGCGCAGCCCACTCCACTTAGCCCAGCTCCTCTTCGGGGGCATTTCCTATACAAGGAATGGCATTTCAGGAATTTTGTATAAAAATAGACTGCCCGTATGAGAAGTTTATAAAGTTATGCATTGTGTTAGGAAAGCAGACAGAAGCGTTTTCTTCGTCTCCTCTCTCCCTGACACTTGTGGCCCCGCGGTGGAACTGACTTGATAAAAGGTCAGTTCAAACCTTTGGCTTCCCCCCCCCGCTCAAAATTCATACTGCGATGGCATCGAAGGGGAAACTGGACATTCACAAGGCGAAAAAACTGATTAATAGTTAGTAGTCTTAAACCTGAGTGGAGCCTCATGTTCAGAGGCAGTATACCACTGAATTCCAAATAACGGACAGAGAAGCCTGCTCGTGAGCACTCCCCCTCCGGTGATGTGTGCTGAGAA